GAGAGAGAGAGAGAGAGAGAGAGAGAGAGAGAGAGAGAGAGAGAGAGAGAGAGAGAGTGGAGGAAATGAACTAGCAGACTCCCTGCGACCTCGCATTCGTAGACTTCTGCCTCGATAAACGCAGAGACTCGCGGCCGATCCTCTCCTCGTTCTGCTCAGCCGGGACTGGTCTGGTCGGTACCAGTTCCGACGGTTTCACCACCGCACGTTTCTTGAGATAATCGATGGTCCGAGTGATGTCCCGCAGAAGCCGGTCCGCCAGCGTTCTACTGAAATCCTCTCTGACCACAGCGCGCAAGAGCGACACGTGTTCAGCATCCGGTGCCATCGTGTATGCTGGCAATATCCATCCGCATCTCTTAAGATTGTCCGCCACGTCATACTCATCGAACTGACTTCTGTCCTTGAGAGAGAATGCAAGAAGAGGAACTCCCTCTTTCTTCGAGAGAATGTCGAAGTACCCCGTCGCTTCGACTGCATCCCGCAAGTACAGTGCGTTCTCCCTGCAATTCTCCATCACTCGCTTGTACCCGTTCTGTCCCAGGCGGATGAACTGGTAGTACTGAGCGATGAGATGGCTAGCGCCTTTAGAGAAATTGAGAGTGAAGGTCGGCTGATCGACTCCCAGATAGTTCACGTGAAATATCAGCTCGTCGGGCAGATCCTGCTTGCTCTTCCACACTACCCATCCCACGCCAGCATAGACAAGACCATACTTATGTCCGCTGACGTTGATGCTCTTCACCAGAGGAAGACGGAAGTCCCATTCAAGATCCGGGTACAAGAATGGGGCTATGAATCCCCCGCTGGCCCCATCCACATGGATGGGAGTGTCCCACCCAGTCTTCGCGTTCTTCTCCATCAGCAGGTCGTTGATAAGCTTGATGTCCTCGAATTCGCCGTTGTAGGTGCTGCCAAGAATGCCCGCCACACAGATAGTATTCTCATCTACCATATCCACGGCCTTGACAGGGTCGATCACGTAATAGCCTTCTCGCAATTTCACCTCCCTCAGTTCCACCTCAAAGTACCTTGCAAATTTCTCCCAACACACCTGCACATTTGCGCCGGTGACGATGTTCGGCTTGTCGAAGGGCAGGCCCTGAGCTTTGCGCTTGTTCTGCCATTTCCTCTTGAATGCCAGGCCAGCGAGCATAATAGCCTCCGAGGAACCAATACACCCCGCGCCGACGGCGGACTCGCCGTCCTTGATTGGAGCGTTGAGAAGGCGGGCAATCATGTTGACGCAGCGGTCTTGAAGCTCCGTGGAGATCGGATAGTTGTCCATGTCAATGTAGTTTTTGTTGAGCGCTTCCAGGATCAGTTTGTCGCATTCGGGCTCCATCCACGTCGTCACAAAAGACGCAAGGTTCAGCCGTGGATTCCCATCCAGAAGCAACTCGTCGTGAATTACTTGATAAGCCACCTCTTTCGGCGTTTCACACTCGGGCATACGAAGCTTTGGAAGCCCCACTTTAACGTACCGAGACGCGAAAACAGTGTCCACGTGATCCCGCTGTCCATCGCTCTTTGCACCCGTCACCGCCGACAACATCTCTCTCTCTCTCTCTCTCTCTCTCTCTTTTTTTTTCTACACATCTAGATGTGTATAAGAGACAGGAGAGAGAGAGAGAGAGAGAGAGAGAGAGAGAGAGAGAGAGAGAGAGAGAGAGAGAAGAAACCAGCAGACAAGTGAAGATGATCGCGCAAAAATGTGGTACCGAGTTTTGCTGAGACAACAGAGGTCATCCAGCATACTACTCACAAGAGTAGCCCGGAGAGACAGGGAGGATGGGATTGAGAGGGAGGGAGGGAGGGAGGAAGAGATAAACAGACAGACAGACAGAAGGAACCAAGAGAGAAGTGAAGATAACCGGGCGAATGTGGTACCGAGTTACGCTGAGACAATAGAGGTCATCCAGGGAAGGGGGGGGGCAGACAGACAGACACACACACACACACACACACACACACACACACACACACACACACACA